CTTAATAGACCTTAAAAGCAACATTTTTAGGCTTTGTGCTGTGTTCTTGCAATGTAAGTGAACTTTTGCCCTGCTAATATGACCATTTAAAATCATAAATGTGCTATTTTCCTTGCTTTTAAATTGCACACCACTGTTACATGACTTAGGTACAATGTCTTTTTCCAATTGCTCCCAGTCTGGGTCTCTAAGATACCTAAAAGACATATTTTATCAGCATCATAAAGAAGCCTCTTCAAAGACTTTGCAAGGGGTCACTTCCACTTCGCTACAGTGAAGTCTTCCTCCCTTGATTTCCCTACAAGGCTCAGCATTACATGACTGTCACATGACTGTGGTGAGTCATGTGACCTTGGTGAGTCATGTGATACCACCCTCCTATGTCCTGAGCACTAGGCTGTATCAGTCTATACTGCAGCGATAAAATGACAGTAACTGTTAGGGGTAAGACATCTTGTAAAAAAGCTAATTGAGAAAGGCCTTCTTTGAAAGGCACTGGAGATAGAGCATTTACAAGCAGACCTTGCCCTTCTTCAGTGGCCTTGTTCCTTCTGCACACCAATGGGAATGCTGGGTGCACAGAGACACCTGTGGTCTGCAGGCTGGTGCTTGGGGTACACAGCAAGGGAGGGAGCCCCATCAAGCACCACCTCCTTCAGGGTCCAGGGCAGCAACTGTTCAGAGGTGCCTGGAGATGGGTCTGTCTACCAGGAGTTTAACCATCAGTGTCTCTGGATAAACCTAACTCCCATTGTGAAGGACAGAACCTCCACCCCCATCTGGCACTTCCTTGCCTCAGAACTGCCTTTCCCACAGGGCCTGTAGCCTCAGTTGCCTTACAAGGAGTGGCTCAGTCAGTGGGCCCCTGGGGCTCCAGGCCCTGTAGCCACACACTTCTACCTTCAGTGTAGACAGGTCGGTGCACTCCCTCTACTGTGATGTCTGTCTGTCTACCCTGACTGGCAGTGCCCTCAACAACTGGACCACTAGATGGACAGCCAGGACTTCGATACAAGTATCCCGTTACTGAAACCAGCAGGCATTTCAAAAAAAAAAAAAAAGAACTAAGGCTAAAAGCCAGTGTCTAGAAGAAGGGCACCAACTCACAACAAATTCAGCATCAAGGGTGAGATGCATTTGATGCTGGGATGTCACTGTCAAAGCCCATGGGGTCTGATCCACCCAGAGGATGGGAATGCATACAGAGTTGTTTGTGGGATCCGATCAACTGCTAAAGCATTGGAGGGACAGAGGGAGCATTCGTAGAGACAAAGCCTAAACCAAAGCTGTTCTGCCCCAGCACCTGTGTCACATTCCAACCAGAGGCCCAGCGCAATAGTACGTGTGTGTCAAGGGAATCCGTACTTCTAGCCTTTGACTAGTGTTTTGTTGTTTGTTTGTTTGTTTTATGTTAAATATAGCATACAGAATTTCTTTGAAGAAGTCTTTACAAATCAAACAGATATGTGTTTGAATTATGTCTTTGCCCTTGACTGATAGTTTATTGTTGAATTTAAACTACTTTTCTGATTTCTTGTTTTACTTTCTGCTGGAGGTGTTTCAGTACATTTCTAGTCATACTGTTGTCATTAAAGGTCATCTCAAGGGGGGTTAAAGGGACATAAGGGTAAGGCAAAAAAACCAAGTTATATCATATTCAGGTACAAATTCTTGATGATGAGAATATCATTATGTGTATCTAAAATATACCAAGGAAATCTAATGAAAAAAATAAAAGATAAAGTTAATCTCAGGCCATAAGACAGAGTGGTTGTCCCCAAACTTGTCCACACCATAAAATCATCTAAGGAGCTTAAAACATACTGGTACCTGTGACCCCATCCTCCAGAGGGTGTTGCCACAATGCAGCCAGGACTTGGGAATTTTTTTAACAGATTCCTCACTGCTTCTGATACTGAGACACGTTGGGGAATCCATGGCCTAGAGCTGATGTCACTGAGCATTCAGTACCTACTGAATGAGTGAACACAGTGTCTGGCACACAGCAGACTTCCCACGGTTTGTGGTACCTGTCCTTTCCTGGACATTTCTTTTCTTATGCGTTTTTACTGGGACACCAGAACACCTTGCATCAGGCTAGGATTCCGGTCTGTGGGACTGCGGCGTGGTGCCAGCTTCATATGCCAGAGCAGATGGTGTCATGTGCAGTAATATCCTACAGAGAGGACAGGAGAAAGGTACACGTAAGCTCCTCTGCAGGGCTGGCCCCGAGGTCCAGCTACAGGAATGTCTAATGGCTTTGATTTTGAGTCGTTGCTCAGTCCCACCTCTGAATGTTAATTGAAAAGTCACCTTGGAAACCAGGTCTTGGAACTCTGCTCTCACAGGGCGCGGCAAGGGTGAGCCGGGATGTGACAAGGCCATGTCTAAGGCACAGCAGAGTGCCCTGCTGTTGCTGTTGCTGTTGTTTTACTTTTATTTTCAACATTTGGCTCAATAAATCCTTTGTCAGTTGTCTTGGTTCAGCCATCTGAATGTATCAAAGTTCTGAAATTTGAGCACGTGGCTTATTCCTTCCTGGCTCGTGGAGAAAGGTTCTGAGTTATGAAAGCAAAGCAACCACGGCCGTCTACGATGTAGAAGCCAGATGGTCTCCCCGTCTGCTGTGCTGCTTCAGGGTGTCAGGTATTGGAGGGGAGCTCTATCCCTTCACCACCTACATGAACTGTTGTGTGCTTAGGAATGCAAGGAAAACCCGATGGCTTTCGGTGTCTGTAACTGAGGACTTGGACATTGCTTGATGCACAAAGCTTATATAATATGCTCTTTATGGTACAGAGCAAACTCGCAAGTTTCGCCCCAGGGCCATGATAGAAAACATTTCAGATACTGGAGGGAAAATTAGTCTGTCTCAAAAACTGTGAAATCCTTTTCTACTTGACCCTATAATCTTGATGGAGTCAGACTGGTCTTCCTTAGAAACTCAAAATGATTGCAAATTACATCTTCAAAAGAAAAGACTTCCACCCCACTGAGATTTTAAAGTTAGACATTTTGTATATGAGAAACGTGTTTATTTCAGGATAGTTCTACATTCAGTAGGAATTACAGAAGTACCTTGAAATTGATTATATTTTAAAAAGCTATAGTTTTTTTTAAAAAGCTATAGTTTAAAATGTCCCTTGTTGATACTTTATAACACTGAGCTCCTTATGAAAATAAGGGGATAATGAGTTTATCAGTATTTTGGTCTTTTGGGGGGGTTATTAATTTTATTGAGAAAGAAATAGCAATGAGACAGTTTCTAAACAGGTTCGTAGGACAGTTACAGTAATTAATACATTGTGCATTGTCTTTGTAGTAGATATTCTGGTGTTTTTTTAAATGTGTGTGTGTGTACATGTGTATGTGTATTTGGTACAGGGTCTCACTATGCAGTTCGGACTCATAGTGATCGTCCTGTTTCAGCCTCCCAGCTCTGAGACTACAGGCATGCACCACCGCGCCCAGTTTCAGTGACCAGAGGCTGGCATGGTGTGTGGTGCCAGGGATCAAATCCCAGTCCCTGCACTGGCCTAAGCAGGTGCTTAATCTGCTGAGCTATCTCTCAGGCCGTCTTATCAATATTTTGTGCTAATGGATGATTTTATCTTTTGTATTTGTCATTTAAAACATATAAGCCTGAACTACATGTCCATCACTCTTACTTTTTAGTTTCATGACTTTTAAAAAATTGAATTTGCTCATAAATCTTTATCATATTAATATAATTGTACTTTGGGGTTTTGAGGTAAAATGGAGGCAGGTGTCAGGGTGCAGGCCTGTAATCCTAGCACTCTAGGAGGCTGATGCAGGAAGATTGCAAGTTCAAGCACAGCCTGGTCCATTTAGCCACTTAGCAAGACCCTATTTCTTTTTCTTTTTTTTTTTTTTTAATTTTTATTTGTGTGTGTGTGTGTGTGTGTGTGTGTGTGTGTGGCCAGCTCGGCCCACCAGGGGGCGGGGCTGGCTGGCATGTGGTGCTGGGGGATTGAACCGCGGTCCCTGTGCTTTGCTAAGCTTGTTCTAAGTAGGTGTTTTAGACCACTGAGCCATCTCACCAGCCCCAAGACCCTATTTCAAAAGAAAAAAAAAAAAAAATTAAAGACTAGGGCTGGAGCTCAGTGCCAAAGCCCTGGGTTCAGTCCTCAGTGCCACCAAAAGAAAAAAGTAGAATGTGTGCGTGTCCCAAGTGTGGTGCGTGGGTGTGTGCGGATGTACGTGTGCTTCTCTCCTGGTGTTCAGCAGTCTGAGGACATCTGTACAGAGGCCTTCGCAAATATTAGAGCAAGTCCTGCCTCTTGCCTGTCACCTTTGACCGCCCCTGAAATTTGTGAGATCTCCACCTTGGGTAAAGATTTCGCTCCACATAGCAGGGAAGATAAGCGCAGGCCTGGGGTCTGGCCCTCCGCTGCTGACCGCTCACGCACAGCGCGCCCTCAGAGGCTTCCGGGGACCCCGCTTCCACCTTCCGGTTCGACAGGCTCCAGGCCGCATGCGGTCTGTGCTTCGAAGTCGGCTTCAGGCCTGCGTATCTGGAAAATGAATTTCAGAGCACTTAAGCATATCTCTCTTAACTGCTCGAAAAGGTTCAAAGGCGTCTAGTAACTATCAGATACTTTTACCTCCTGCTAGTTCTCGTTCTCCTTGAGGGTCGCGGTGTCCAGTGTCCTGAAATACTTATCTTACTCCTTGGATCACCCTTTTCTCGTCACTCTAAATTGGCCAAGGTGCTCTTGTGAATACGGGTCTGTTTGTCTCAGTTGCCAGGTGCCTCCTAGACGTGCAGATTCCACCTACGGTGCTCCATGTTCCCTGGACCCAGATCCTCCCCCACCCCCACCCCCACCCCTGAGGTACAACGGTGCCCCGTGGGATTCCCTGGGGAGTCTGGGACCTCAGACCCTCAGACCACAGGTCTTGTGAGACCGGTTCGACACCAGCACGATCCCAGCTGGGCTGGGGACCCAGTGCAGCTGCCGGCCCTCTGTCTCCTGCAGGGTCCTGTAGCATCCCCAGCGTCTGCATTTTCTGTCCTCTCTGCTGGACCTGGCCTTCCACCACCGCCTCCACCACCACCTCCTCCAGGGCCACCTCCGCTTTTTGAGAATGAAGGCAGAAAAGAAGAGTCCTCTCCTTCTCGCTCAGCTTTATTTGCCCAGCTGAACCAGGGAGAAGCCATCACCAAAGGTGAGCGCCAGACCTGGCAGCCTGTCGCTGCCCCTCAGGGCTCTAGCCATGGGTGCGCAGTCCACCCCCCTCCCCAAGCACAGGAGAAGGGAGCTGCAGCTGGGAGCACAGGGCCTGCGGTGCTCTTCCAGTCCAGACGGGCCCGGTGTGCTCTATGGGACAGACATGGCTGTGGGAGAGCCCCGGTTCTGGACCAGACACCACCCTGCATCCCCATCTGGGCATCTAGCACATCAGCAGCATCCTCTGAAACCACAGCATCAAGAGCAAGTGGAATAAGTCAGGCACAGTGCTCACTCGGACTGAGTGAGCCTGAGCTCAGCCTGGGCTCTTTTGAGAACATCTTTTTAAATTATTATTATCATCATCATTATTATTATTATTATTATTATTATTATTATTATTTTGAGACAGAGTTTTGCTAAGTGGCTAAGTGGACCAGGATGTGCTTGAACTTGCAATCCTACCTCAGCCTCCTTGAGTGCTGAGATCAGAGGCCTTCACCCTACGCCTGCCTCCATTTTACTTTTAAGAAAAAATCAAAAGGCTGAGAATGTCAGTGAGAAGGTCCTGGGTTCAATCCCCTGAATGTGAAGGGGGAAAAAATATCAGTTGAAGTAAAAATGGCAAATGCTAGTGCCTTGGTCCTGGAAAGGATTTTAGCTTGTTGAAGAATTACATCTTTGAGCTACCTTTGTCCTCATGCTGAATGGCTAATTTAAAATTTTTTAAAAATATTGAAATAGTCATGTTGCCAAAAACTATATGCAAACACAGGGGACTTAGGCTGTGTGTGTCCCTCTGCACTGAGCTGGGCTGGAAGCCAAGAACACAAAAATTTCAACTCTGTCATCGGCTCAGACTTCTGCTGTCCTACCTGAAACTCATTCACAGAGTAAAAACTGAGACTGATCCTTTGCCCCTCAAGTCAGTTCTGTCCCTTGATAGATAGTCCATGGAGGCTCTAAACATCAGGGCCGTGGCTAATGATAAACCACAAGATCTTCGCTGTGAAGGTGACTCGTGGGCTGGTGAGGTTGTGTTTTTACAGCCTTGTTACTGTGCTATCTCCTTAAAGACAAGGTTTGAGAATCGTGGCTCTTCTGCGGATCTGAACACACAGGGCTTAGGCTGCACCCTCACGAGCGCTGGGTTATCATGCCAATAGCGTGGCCCAAAGTTCTTACGGATCTTGCATCCTGGACATTGCACTTTACATCGCATATAAAGAACATGTCTGCGTGTGTGACCCTTACAGGTCTTCGGCATGTCACAGATGACCAGAAGACTTATAAGAACCCCAGCCTGCGAGCACAGGGACAGACTCGATCTCCAACCAAGAGCCACACACCAAGCCCCGTGTCTCCCACAGCTCACTCGCCACAGAAACATGCTCCCATGCTGGAGTTGGAGGGCAAGAAATGGAGAGTGGTGAGTGGACTCCCTTGACATTGCTCTTCTTCATTTTTCCTGGTACCAGGGATTGAATTTAGGGCCTTCACACTGTGCTGGATCCCTGGTCATTTTTATTTTCTTTTGAGATAGTCTTACCAAGTCTGCTCAAGCTGGGTATGAACTTGTGATCCTCCTGTCTCAGCCACCCACAGTGCTGGGATTACAAGCATGTGCCACCCCGCCCAGCTGTTTAACCTTTCCTCCTGACACCCTCTGACAAATGGACCAACACTGAGAGCCACTTACCAAGGCCATCAGGATTTCTAGGTATCGCAACCAGAGACAGAAAGCACAGGCATTTTTAGGTGCTTCTATAATTTTTTCTTCACAGGCGCTCATTCTTTAAACTTTTTTAAGCTATTTTTTTTAGATTGTGGCAAAATACACATAACATAAAATTCATCCTAAACCACTTTTAAGTGTGTATTTTGGTGACATGAAGTTCTGTCACATGGTTGTGCTACCATGTGTTCCATCCTCAGAGCACTTTCCATTTTGCAGAAGAAATGAAACTGTACCATCACACCATGCTCCCCATCTCCTTCCCCACCCCTCAGAAAGCACTATTGTGCTGCTGCTCTCTACGAAGTGACATCTTCATAAACTTTAGCCAAGAGGCCACAGAAACTGTGAGCACATGGACCCTGGGAGTCCACACCCCAGGCCTTGCTACAGTCTGCTGAAGCAGCTTCACTCGGTTGCACTGATTGAGGTCCTGACCTAACCACACAGGGCCACTGCCACCCACTACTAATTCAGGGATAATTCCAGTCCCACAAGACACTTTGCAAGCTGGTGTCCCCTGTCAGCCCAGAGAGCTTCCCTAAGGATTATGAGCCAATGTCCCTGGAAAGGATATCACAGCCTGGAAAGACGGTGGGGCTTGGACTATGCTTGACCCTTTGCCAGCCTTTTTGCCCATTTCCTATTGGACCAAGCATCAAGAGCACATCAGTGCTGTGGCCCCACCCACTGACCAGGAGGCCCACAACATCGACAGTTTGCAAATTGACTCAAAACCCCATCCGAGCAGAGTCTCGTGCACAGTGACAAGACCCGGGGATCTGTGCTTAAGGAGGTCCTTAAGGAAGGAAGAAAGGCTGCCGTCATGGTCGTTCCCAAATGCGAAGGATTCTGTTTACCTATATCCTTCTAGCTAATATTTGTATCTCTTTTCATTTCAGGAGTACCAGGAGGACAGAAATGACCTTGTACTTTCCGAGACTGAACTGAAACAAGTGGCTTACATTTTCAAATGTGACCGATCGACCCTCCAGATAAAAGGGAAAATCAATTCCATTACCGTTGGTAGGGCACACACACAGTTTTATAGTCACTAGGATGAGTTGTTTTATATAATCATGTGTAAATATTTAGTGGCAACTTATTTTTCCCCCTAGATAACTGTAAGAAGTTTGGCCTTGTGTTTGACAATGTGGTTGGCATTGTGGAAGTGATCAACTCCAGGGACATTCAAATTCAGGTAAGTGCCCTTTCCCCTCATACTGTGCCCTGGATGGTCCACTCTGCATGGAAAGGGGCCCTTTCTCCCTCACGGCCACCTAAAACCTCCAGGTCCTGTTCTTTCCAAGCACGGCTCTGTCATCACCTCTTCTGTAAAGCCCTGTCTTCTCCTTCCATCTCCTACAACACCTCCTATCTCATGCTGAAATTACTGATTTACTCTTTGTTTCAATGACAACTAATTTTTGTTGGCCTATAGACTTGCACAATACCTGCACATAGTAAGCATACAGTAAGTGTTTGATGAGGACATGAGTGAATGAATCAACTACTGCATACATAAAAATACTAAGAGATTGTCCTAGTATAACACCATCATTCCAAAGAGAATATATCCCCTCTGGAAAAGCTTATTCTAAGCAATGAATAAGAAAAATATTTTCCACAGGATCAATGAGACAATCAGAAAAACAACCTACAAATAGAACTAGAATTGAATTTGCTAAGACAGAAAAAAATCTGTGTTCCCTAAGCAATTTCAGTATGGACAAGGGAGATGCTATAATGCACTAAACTCTGAGGGACTTTTGCCTTCAGCCAGTGACAACTTTTATCTTTGGTTACCTCTTTTCATTATGTGAATCATACTTTACTATTTGACATTTTGTAATAATATTTGCTCAAATTAGATTTTGGTTGTAAGATTCGTTCCTTTTGCTTTGCTGGGCTTTTCACCACTGACACTTTTAATAAGAATCCGT